GTATTCAGGATCACTGGGAATTAATTTGAAGATTTGTAAGGAACTAGATTTTCTGTGTTATATACACCTTTCAGTGTCTGGTTGTTGTCTGAAATTTCATATGCATTTATATGTGGAATCCGAGATATGTGATATGGGCCCTCATATAGCAGACACAGTTTATGAGACACACCTTCAAAGGCATTGGAAGGTTTGTTGGTTTTTAATAGTACCAAATCTCCCAGATGATACTCACAAGTTTTATGACGCTGTTGTTTACTCCTTTTTAATGCCATCCGGATAAGTTGTGATTTGACCGACCGAACTTGTTCTTCCCTACTAATCGTTATGGGGATTCCTGTATACTGTTTTAGTACTGTGTCTAATGCATATTCTGGCAACACCCCCTTAATTAAGACGAGGGGTGCAACTCCTGTACTATAATGTGGGACGCTATTTAAACAACACTCAATATTGGGAATAATATCGGCCCATTTTTTATGATTTTGATGACAGTAGGTTCTGAGGAACCGGCCTATTTCCTGCATATATCTCTCAGCTGGATTCGCCTTTGGATGTCTTATGGACGAGTGAATAGTGACAATATTCAGATCGAAAAATTTCTTTTTCCAGTGCTTCGACGTGAACTGAGTACCATGATCACTTAGGATCTTTTTGACCGGCAGAATTGGTAATAACTCTCGTTCGATACGATGAGTAGCTGCAACAGCAGTAGCCTTCTTCATGGGAAAATTTTTTATGAATTCGGAAAATACATCTAGAGCTACCAGCAAATAGGACACCCCCCCTCGTCCTTGGGGTAAAGGTCCATAAAAATCTACTGCAATTAATTCTCCTACTTCTGGAGGTATAATCGCTTGCCATGGTCCTTCGGGGTTATAATTTTTTCTTTTTGCTTTTTGACACAGGTCGCAAGTTGCTAAGATACGTAAAATTTGTTTCTGCATGCCAGGCCAATAGAAATTTGCAGTCAGAATTGGCATAATTTTACCGGCACTAAAATGTCCTAGTTCATGATGGTAATGCCAAACGATTCGTGTCTTCAGGATCTCTGGCACCACTACACATTTAATATTGGAAATTTGGTTGTGATACAATAGAACTCCATTTTGCTCGACAAAATTAGATATAATAGCTTTTTCTCGTCTGGACATGACAGTCTCATCTTTTTTTCTAAGTGTTTGAATTTTACTCACATATTCGTCTTGTTCTTGTGCCAATCGTAAATTCTCCAGGTCTTTGAGTAGGTTAGCCGTCCCTTCGACCTGGAACAGTGCGAGGATTGGGTCTTGATTTGGGAGATCATTACCTTGATCTGTTGGGTATCTGGACAAAATATCGGCAACTCTGTTTTCTCGACCTGGGATATATTCAATACTGAAATCAAATTGTTGTATAAATAATAGCCAGCGGGATAATCTCTCATTTAGGAAACGACAAGTCTGAATAAAGGTGAGAGCGTGATGATCGGTTCTGATTATCAAGCGTGCACCAAGAAGATAGAGGCGAGACTTCTGTAGTGCATAGACAATACTCAGCAGTTCTTTTTGTGTGGTGTTATAATTGATTTCAGGACCATGGAGGCTACGATTGATGAACATGACGACTCCCTTGGACTGATCTGGTTGTGTAAGTGTGAATAAATTGAGTATTTAGTAAGAATAAATATGAAATCCTGTGACTCTGTGAAGAAAATAACAACGCTTCATCATATGTCAATTATATAGCATAAATCAATAGAAGTAATGATATGTATTATTTCAGTTCAGTTGCAACTAATAAGCCCAGTTCATTGCAAAAGAATAAACCTCAATGGGCTGTTCGTGACGGCCGTCGGTGCTCTAGTCACTTCCAGCACCGAGCGGACTGCCAGTAATGTCATGAATGTCATAAATGTCATACATCAAATAAATTCAGATAAACAGAAATAAACATGGACGAATATCAAATCAAATCAATATTAAAACAGTTTTGTTATGTTGTATTTACCTATTACTCCTGGAGATGTTGCTTCTTCGAAGGCTGGAAATGTTCTGCCGATATCGTGGCTCGAGCTGCTATTTATAGGGAAACGGTTTGTTGTGAGTGTCGCCAAATTCACTTCCATGGTTACTGACGCTCTTTTTTGAAACAAACCCGGATTTGGCCCCTTTTTGGCCCCATTTCAGGGTGTTCCCTTGTAATATGAGGCTTCTAGCTGTGAACACACAATGTGACAAGGTTAGATATCTTATTTTGTTCACTTCTCAGGTTGCTCTCGTGGTTCTAACTTGGATTTTCCCAGTTTTAAGACACATTGACAGTGTCAAACACTGGCAATTTGGTAGCGTCCTACCGAAAAACCCAGTATTTTTACACCTTTGAACAGATTAAATGATTCAAAACCCACAGAAGGACTACTCACCAAACTTGTAGAAACTGCACAAGGATGGGTATCAGCTGTATTTGAATCCCAGCCTGAATCACCTCATTTCAGGTCACTATCTCCTGTAGTAGTGTTTGCAGGTATATTGGTTTGCTTGCTAGTTGGTAGTAGTAGTTTGATAAACAGTGAATGAGTAGATTTATAGCAAAGAAATAAGAAATTAGCTAACAGAAATGATATCATATGGATAGAATGATGCATTATAGTATTGCTTCGAAGTAATCAAGCAGTAAACTTCTGGCAGAAAGCAAGGAATAACATATACAACATGAATGTGATATTTATTAACTAGAACTAACATATATACAAAAAAAAACAATATGAGAGAAGGTCAGTGGTTGACCACATATCTTACCTCACGCAACTGTTACGTGAAGTGACTAAGGGCCAATTTATGCATCATTGTCTTTGTCCTAGTCTTGAGTCTTTGTCTTAACTCAGTCCCAATCATAGTCTCAATCATAATTTAGATATTTGGACGTTTATACATCACAGTCTTTAGGCACCTTTAGGCTTGAGAATTATGATATGACAATTGACAATCCGTCAATAGTGTCAACTGAGGTGTCAAGAATGTCAACTGTGAATTCTAATATTTTGTTTTGGCGCGCTTTTAGAATATATTATTTTTCTTCGAAATAATTTTGGAATTCAAAAATGGAAGTGGATAGAGAAATAATTACTGGAATCACTCTGTCCTATATTCATTTGAATCTTGCCACTCTGGTTTGCCTGATGAATAAAAGAAAGAGAGTCAGGCGATGTGGAGTTCGTCCCATAAACAAAAAAAGGAAAACACAAGGTTTCTTCATGACTTTGGTAAGGACAATGAAAACTGGAGAATTGGATGGAGAACAATTCTTCAAATACACGAGAATGACGAAGAATCAATTCTCCTATTTACTCCATTTAGCTGCTAATTGTTTTCCAGGAATTTTCTACGGCTATTTTGTCTTTGAATTGTAGATTTCTCTTGTCCCAAAGATGGGGAAATTTCTCCACCAAATCGATTAGAGTTCCCTCTTCCAGGCTCATGATTATTTCATCAATTAATTATTTTACCACTGATTGAACTATGAACTGATTCATTGACATTGATGACAATAACAAAATTAAAAAACTCATATGTCATTTCTCAAATAAGTTGACAGGTCGACGCATGCGTATTTCATGTGTCGTCTCAATCATAAGCATAAAAGTTGAAAATTTGTAACTTTCAAGGTCGTGATTTAATGATTATGATTAAGACTGAGACTAACAATGTTGCATAAATTCGCCCATTGAAATGTATGCTTTTAACTTTTAAGACCAAGACTGTGACTAAGACTAGGACAAAGACAATGATGCATAAATTGGCCCTTAGACTTTTTAAAAATTCCGTCAGTTCTGAGAAGTTTGAAATTAGGTACATGTCAAAAATAGGCGTTTGCCTTCCCTTTGGCGTCAGCCTGAAACTTGCCTGCTCGTACTGTAGATAAACCCTTTCCAGACATACCGTCAATTACTATCTGCTTTATTTTCGTAAGATTCTTCTTTTATGTCTAATTTCGATCGTATCTGGAATTGTTTTTTTTAATCTTAGATAAATATTGAACGTTCGGCAACATTGCGCGCATCTGTTGTCGAACCCTTGATTATATGGGTCAAATGCAGTCGGTCGGCATTCGCATTACGCATTTGTGTCGGGCCGTCAACCTCTGGGAAGATATTCTCAAAAGTTGCTGCGGAACTTGATATGGCAATATCTTCCAAAATAATTTTTCTTTACAAAAATGTATTTGATCATTTCGTTCCGTCTTTTCGTGTTCTATTACCCATCTCATTTATTACCCCAATTTCGAAAACACCCTGTATACAGACCAACATCATCGGCCGATCACTTTCGGCCGTACACGGCCGAAATTTAGTTCGGCCGAAAACGGTGCCATTCTGTATTTGATGTCAAAATTGTAGAAATCAAAATGACGGACCCAATATGGCAAACAAAAAAGTGCACCTTCGTAAATTGTCCCAAAAATGTGTATATACAGGTTTCGTGAAATTGATAAGTTCTAATTGAAGATTGAAAATGCCGGATCTGTCATGGCGAACAAAATATTCTAAAATGCTTCCATTTTTCTGTACTGGTCACTGATAATGAAATCATTTAAGTTTATCATTAAACTACTGATGAACAAGAATTATTATTATCACACAAAAATATTATACAAACTAAAATGAAGTGATTATCAAATTGAAACGCGCCTACAGGGTCACGATACATAATCTGACCTTAATATTCAAGTACTTGAATATTAATTTCTGTATTAACAAGAAGTACTCAAGTTCATTTCTAATTCAGTTCATTAGAAGGAGACACAATAAATTTGTTTAAAAATATATCTTTAAAATTTGTCCTCATCATCATTGGAGGAAGCGCCACGTTCGTCATAGGGATATTTCATTCACATTACCCGTCATGGTTGAAGCTAATAATCCCATTTCATTGTGTTTAACCGTGACGTCATTTCCGTTTGGGTACACCTCCCCTACCTGCCCTTGGGTTTCCCAACTCCAACGTTGGTAAAGGTGGTTAATGTTGAAAGTGAAGATTTGTTTACATGTTTACAACGTGAAAGATATGGAGAAACTCAAATTACAAATCAATGGAGTGGATATTGAAGTGGAAGATACCATGGAAAATGTTCGAAAATTACGAAATGGTAGGGTAGAGAATAGGAAAGGAAGGATTTATTTAGGTAATTTCATGTTTCCAGACGACAAGCTCCTTAAACAGTATGTTATGGAATTATATGGTTCTGGTTATCTGAAAGATTTTTCTATACATGGAAGAATAACATCCATTTATATCTATAATGATGATGAAGAGATCCCTGAAGAAATGCAGGAAGCACAGAATGAGATCAGTTTAGATAGCATTGATATCGATTCTGATACAGACTTCAACGAAACTCTGCCAAGCCCAACATGTAAGGCCAGCTCAAAATAGACTGCAATTTTGAAATGTAACACATAATGTGTAGGTACTTATATCCCATTTTTCAGGGCAATTTGCAGAACCTTCAACATCTAATATAGTATCACCTGACCAGAACCAGAATGATTTGGATCCAAGAAGTTAGTATAATGTATTAAATATAGTGAAATACTGAGATATGATATTTTTGTAGATTCAGGAATGATTTGGACTACTAGGGGAAAACCAAGTAGCAAGGATATTGAAGCCACAGATTTTTTTTTGAGTTTACGTGGAAATGACCATTATATGAAATGTTTTAATGATAAAAAATCAAGTCATAATATTTTATGGCGTGACATAGCCAAAAGAATGAATGAGGCAGGCTATTGGGTAGGAGAAGGCAAAGTAGCAACTGATAAATTAAGGCATAAATTTAAAAATCTAACAAAAATGTACATGAATTTTATTGCCTATGTCAAAAGAACAACAGGAACACCCAAAAGAGATCCACCTCAATTCTATGATGAATTACATAAAATATTTGGTGAGAAAGATAAAACGAATCCCAAGCTTATTATCGATTCTGAGTTGAATACTTCTGAGAAAATTGTTTCTACAGAATCTCTTGCTAGTGAAAATTTGGTAGACAATCATGTCCCTGAGAATCCATTAGAAAGGAGTGATACTCCTTTTACAGCAAGTGATTGCGTAGAACAATCTGTTACAAAAGAAAATGTGAATGCCAATGAAAAAAATAAGCCAGCAAGAAAAAGGGCATATATGTCAGTGAATGAAGATATCAATATAAGATTGAAGAACATTGAGACAAACTCAGAAAAACACTTTGCTCAAATGTTCAAGTTAATGAATGACCAAAATAAAATTCTTAAAGAACAAAATGACCAAAGGAATAAATTAATCAATATTTTTGAAAAACTTGTTGATAAAGAAAATAAAACAAGAAAGCGAAAATATTCCTCATCTTCAGATTCTTAACTTTGGTAGCTTGTGAGATCTCTTTTGTTGTCATTTGTACCTGTTGACATTTTTTGTACCTGTTCTCATGTGAACTGAATTTTTTATTTATGTTTGTTACCTATATTTTTTGGTTTTTTTTGCATTTACGAGTGACATTTCTCATCCATTTTCCCCAACCAATGTACCTTTTTTGTTAAAGGACTATATTTGTACCTGTATATATTTTTTAAAGTTTTTCCTTGTTTTGTGAGAAGACTATCTCTAAGAATCATAGTTTATGTATTTCTTTTGGTACCTGTATTTTTTTATTTTTTTAAGTTTATTGTCTGTTTTTTCACATTATGAATAGATGATAGGTATTATTGTTCAAATTATTATACCTTTTCACTTTTTTTAAATACAACATTTATTTATAGTTATAATAAATAATATTTTACATTTCAACATATTATAAACGAAACATGATGGTTATTGCCTCAAAATGTGTGCTAGGGCATCTCTCTTTGCAGCATTAGTCTGGACATCCAATTCTACAAAATAATGTATTCTTGGGCACTCAACTGTATTGACTTCCAACTCATTGCATAAATCATTTGCTCTGATACATAAATTATGTAGAATGCAACAAGCAGATATAATTTTCACAGCTCTTTCCACACTATTCACATCAATATATTTCAATATCCTGAATCTTCCCTTAAGTCTTCCAAATGCATGTTCGATAGTAACTCTCAGTTGACTGAGTTTCTTATTAAAATTTTTTTGGACATCTAAAAGATTACCACTGTCCTTATAAGGTGTAAGTAGGTAGGTTTTCAATGCATATGCAGAGTCTCCTAAAATATGATTTCCTTCATCAAAATAGTACTGGGGACCATAGGTATCAATATTCCGTCCAAAGCCTGACTCCTTGAAGATCTGAAATTAAATAATTTCAATCATGAGTAATATTTCCATGTTATAAAACAGACTTTACTTTTGTGTTTCAATAGAATGTTCAAGAAATATATGTAATTCATTATTGATAAATGCCCCATATCAATTGAAATATTCAATATTTACCCTTGCATCATGGATGGATCCAGGCCACCCAACAGAAATGTGAGTGAATATTTCATTATATTCACAAATGCCTTGGATTGTGATTGAATGATCAAATTTACGATCACAATAGGAATCCTGTTGTGTTCTTTGGATTTTACATTTGACATGGGTACCATCGATAGCACCTATCACACCAGGAAATCCATTTTTTCTCATAAACTTTGCCATCAATTGGAACCTCTCATCTTTGTTAGGCCAAAAAATATATTTCTTCTGTATTCTCAGAATGGCCTCCAACAAATTAGTGATAATTCTGTGTACGGTTGATTCAGCTACATCAAATCGATCTGCAATACTATATAAATCATCACCTTTACCTAGGTAGTGGAGAAAAATAAGCATAGTCTTTTCTAAGGGTACTGAAATTCTTCCACCATGATAATTTCTATTCTCTAAGAAAGGAACAATTTCTTGACACAGTCGTTGTACAGTTTTTCTCCTCATTCGAAACATGCGATAAAAATCTGATTGTAGGTAATAATCTATCCATGTTTCAAACAAATGAGGATTCCTGAAATGATGAAATCTGATACCTCTTATAGCAGTAATTGTGGCAATACTTTGATGATTCTCTTTAATCAGATGAAGCAATATGTCTTTTCCTCCTAACAAAACAGAGGCCAAATCATCCATCAACAACATGGTTGCACACAACTTGATTTTTTTCATAGACATGATCAATTAGATTCACACATAACAATAAAACAGATAAACAGCAAAATCTTGTTTCTTTCGGATTCAGAATGAAAGAGTGAGGTTATAACTAATGATAACTGGATAAAGGTATAGTTAAAAAGTGAAAGAAATAGGATTTCAAAAATGGTTAATGTTGACGTCATTATGACGTAGCTGCCTCCCACCACCTTCACTAGACTACTATACCCGGGTTTAACGGGTAATGTGAATGAAATATCCCTCATATGATAGATCGGCATTGTAGTCAAATGCATCCACATCCGTTTCTGTAATGCCATTAGATGAAGTGTCTTCATCCACATTCTCATCTGTTTCTTCGTCAAAACTAGCTGTTTCTCTAGAATGGAATTGATCCATCGATTTGAGTTCAAGTTATTATTATTATATTAGAATTATTATTAACCTTGCTCGATGGTTTCCGTCGTTTCCTGTTCCACTTGGTAACGCTCCTCAGTCTCAATATTTTCCAGGACTATTTCATTTATGGTGTTTGGCATAGCTTCACCGTCGAATCACTCGAAAGTATAGCCATCGTCAGACAAATCCCAACCATGATGAGAAGCATTGTCATGCACTGTTGGAACTTTCAAATGGACGTTAAACCAAATGTCGGCATCGTAAGATACTCGCAATAGTCGTTGATCTAACTCAGCTTTGCATGGTGGAATAATCGAGGCATCGAAGTTTCGTACTGTCTTGTTGAATGATTGTTCATCACTCTTCATGCTGTATGATTTTGAAAATCTGGCTTCGTTAACTTCGTTGATGTGATCTTGACCATACAACCTTCAATCAATATGTATAACGTTCCGTACGAATCGATGTATGACTTGGTTGGTTATTTTATATAATAGAAGAAAACAAAACAAACCGGCACACAATTTGTTCAAGCACGGAAAAGCTTTGTTCACGTTGTTCATACATGTTAATAAAAGTATCTTGGAATTCCTCATGCTGCAAAACAATTTGCCACGGCTTCTTCTTTCCTTTGCGGTACAAAGCTGGGATATAATCGCATCCGGTGATTGCATGGAGACCTGACAAGGAACGGCACATATTCTCGCCCAATTCATCTGGGACTTTATTACACTTGGACGTATCTTTGTTTGATTCCTGAGAGATAATTACGGTCAACAATTTCAAACAATTACATCAAACCCTCAAATCGTGTTCATAAACATTCAGAAATTTTGAATTGACTCGGCTGTTACTTGATGAGCATCCATGGCAAATGTAAAAACTTCACAAAGGATGAGATTTCCACAAAATTATTAAACACACAAAATGTTTCGCTAACACAGTAGCTTCATTGTACCAGTTTATCACCTGACGAAGCTACCATGTTCGCGAAACATGTTGTGTGTTCAAGAATTTTGTGGAAATCTTATCGTTTGTGGAGTATTTACATTCATAAATGTTGAATTTTTCCTACCGAAACGCAACCAAATTTCCAAATTCGCTTTCAAGTGACACATGTTTGCCAGCAGGTTTTTAAATACAGGAGATGGGCCACTATCGTAGTGTTGGGTTACGTTACTTCATATATGTGGAGGAAATTTCCTTATCTTTCTTGCTGAATCTGCATGGTAATTGTTTCCAGGTCTGAAAATGACAGATTTTTGTAAAAGTGTGATCCAGGTACTTTACGGTGTAGGGTTTTGGATTTATACTGGCATTTTCACATACTTCGACATGATCCGCGGGAACGCGTTAAGTTTCCTCTCGATAGTAGAATGCATTTAATCGCACTCCATTTGTATACTCTCTTTCTAAATATTGCTGTTCTATAATTTGTTTTGTTTGTTTGGCGAATTTGGAAAGAGCACTAGAAAGAAGAGCTTTTCGATTCTGGCATGTACACCCGTCACCGTACATAATTATTTTATCAAAGCGATCTCTTTCGGGTAGAACGTGGGTTTCTAGGAATCGATAAATGATTGGAGCAAACGTGTTTGATGACATACTTGCGTTTCCTTCATGCCATAGAAAGCAGAACCCATCTTAAGTTTCCAAATTGAATATTGTGGAATTATGTACAATCAATTTCGTTTTATAATATAAAGAGAAAACGTTTGATTTAGGGTTCAAGAGAACTGACTGCTGAGCCATTGTAGAAACCTCCGTGTTCTCAGCCGTCCTGTCAGAATTTTTTTCTTGTCGAGCCACCTCTTTTTTCATTAACCCTTCCCAGCCCGAATTATTTCTCCGTGGGAAAAAATATAATGTTGATAAATACAATGATCAATGATGATAATAAACACATTCTTTCTAAAAAAAATATATTCATATCCTTCATATTGAAATGAATTGACGCCATATGGAGTCAGTGGGCACATGATATAATTCAAATACAAATCAAAATATTCATCAAACTAACATGAATTCACTTATTTACAGTGGAAAAACTTGAAACAATTCTTGTCTTCTGTTAAACATAAGGCCATTTTACAATTTTCACACATCTCACGGGAGTATGCATAAATGCATAATCTACATCTTCGTTTCTTGGATATATGAACGGGCCAATGATTCACTGTGTCGCAACGTGCATCATCTACTAGGACTGCTGTTACATTTCTTTTGGCTGGAGGTGATGGAGTATTACACGCATCTGAAAGAGGCCGGCCCCTCTTACGTGGTGCTGTTCTTCCTGCATTCATCTGACCATGGGGCAATCCACATCGAAAAGCAATCAATGTCTTATATTTCATCTTCATCTGATTCATATCTCTCCGATACAGTAGCCATGCATTCACTATACAAATGTCTACTATATTCTAGGATATACGCAAATAGAATCGCCTTACACCAATATTTATCCTATATTGTGATACAACCATGTCATGAAGATCGACACCTCCATGTAGGTGTTATAGTTAGTTCTTCACCACATTTGGTCGTGGTATCTGAATTTTTTTTTCCAGCAACGCTCCAACGTTCAACATTTTCAACAGGCTGAATTCCTTTGTATGTTGATAGTAAATGGACGGGTTTATTATCAAACCACTCCACAGGTATGATATTATCTTGGTTTGTTTCATGATCGAAAAATCCTCTTTCCGATCTCTTCAATATTTTATCAATTTCTATACTGCATCCAGGTATTCGGTTGCTCCTGACAGTTCCTGTGGCAAGAATTCCTAAACTTTTCAGTTCGTAGAATAGGTCTACTGATGTGAACGAATTATCGCAATACAATTTATAGTTTTTATATTTTG